TCACTGCCTTATGGACGTTGACATTTACGAAGATTAAGTCAAGTCAAGTCAAGTCTCCTTGCAGCCCTACGCATACGTATGTCAGGGACAGCCTCCCTCTGTTCTTCCTCACTGCTCCCTGACTCAGACGCCACCTGGTGGCCCACAGGCCTCTCTAGTCCCTATTCTGATTCTGCACCCCCTAGAGTCTTCCTCAGCCTTCAGGGCAGTCCCATAGTGTTCATCGCTGTCAGATTCCACCAACAGCTCAGCCGGCCGCTGTTGGGCCACAACAGTACCCAATAGTGATAAGTGCCTTGAGGGCAATCCCAAAACATCTGAAGCATCACTTGAACCCCATATGTATTGACAAAACCACTGCTAGTCAATTGCAAAAGGAAGTTTTACTTGGAGTAGCTAACATCCTGTGAAGATACCACAAACACCATCAGAAAACAATATTTGCCTATCCAAGGTCCCTGGGGGGACTCAATAGGTGGATAAAAGTGCCAAATCCAGTCTGAACATCTGGCTGGCTGTGCAACCAACCATAATAATAATTCAAAACCAACATTATTTTGCTAATTATGCCTACAAGGAAAAGATACCACCAGAGGCTAGTTGTACAATAAAAGCACTGATGACAGATATTAGGAATTTAGAACAGACAGAAATCCTGACAGATTAAGAAACAAGCAAATCTTAATATGAGAATAAGAATCCCGTGTATGCTTTTTATTCAAGATAAATTTCTGCCACAACACTGAACACGTTTCTAAATGCTTATTAAAGTTCATGTATGCATCGACACACACACACACACACACACACACACACACACACACATATATAATTTACCTGACTTGAACATTCTGATGCTACAAAAAACCACCCTACTTGGAACACCCTACTACTGATCCCACTATCAGTAATCTTAAAAAAATATGAAATTAGGCTATCAAACAGCCAAAGAAGCTGAAAAATTTTGCATTTATTATATATGGATGATTTGAAACTCTATGGAAAGTCAGAAATAGAAATCCAATCACTGACAAACACAGTCCGAGTATTCAGCAACGATATTTCAATGCAGTTTGGCATGGAAAAGGACCATTGGACTTACCTGAAGGATCGTTTTCAGGGCG